AACCAGATCATCTTTCTGGGAAGGCCCATTTCACCACAGTTTGCCAGCGAGACAGCGCTCAGTGTCAGCTGGCCCCATTAGCTAAGTTGGTGCTGGTAAACTGGGCCTTTGAGGAAGACGATCTGGTCGAAAAATCGGGCCGTTTAAGTTGCAACTGGAAACCTCGACGGTACAAGAAACATAAAGATAAACATCATTGTCCGAGGTTCCACGAGGCGAGAAGTTGAACATTGCTGATTGTCATGTTTTTTTCAAGTCTAGTCCAAGAAGCTTAAAATTGTGTTTTTTTCCGTGGTATGGGTTTTCATTTTTTTGAATTCAGGAAGTGACATTGTGGCGTAAGGCTGATAAACCAGTGAGGACTATATTGGAGCCAACCACAACTGAAACGAGCGCAAATGGAATAGAAGACACTGTCAGAGTACAATCGGGCGGCGACCAAGAAAACGATCGAGCTGCAGCTGAAGATGAGCAGTAGGAGCCTCTTCTTGGTACTTTCTCGAAAGTCTTGCAATCATTTCAAATGTGTCAAGATTCGGTCCATATCATGCATTGAATTGGTTCCATCCTTATCTGAACAGGTGGACGTGCTAGGCTAGACTGCTCCATACATTTAACAAGTTAATAACTTGGAAACGTTTACGAAGTATGCGCATCAAATAGTTGCGTTCAGAGTTGTTTTGGAACGAAAGTTGTCGCAATGTCATTGTTTTTGTAAAGCATAACTTGTATAATCTTAACCTTGCATGTAAACCCGTTGATTGCGCCCGATGATTACGAGTGGGTTGTTGTACAGTGCTGCATAAGTTTTTGTGTAAGTTCCACAGTTTCTTATAGTTTGTCTCATCATTCTCTTTCGGTTTGTAATCTTTAATTATTTTGTTTGAATGTAGCATTGTCAACGTTCTGTGATACATTTTGTCTAAGTTATAAATTCTATTTCTACTTCTGTAGCTGATCAGTCGATGTTATTCCAGATGAATATCGGACGTCATTTTAAGAAATTTGCCGTTTTACCAATTGATTATATAGTTTGGGACATCACATGAATGTGATTAAATTGAATTGAAAAGAGAGAGAAAACCATATCTTTTACACGATGGGAATAATTTTTAAATTTTGGCATTCTGAGCTTTCACCCTGTTGAGCGGATTGCGGTTGGATCTTTGAACCAGCTATTTAGGAGAATGATAATTTTTTTGAACGTTTTTCTTTATCGTGGCAGGCAGCTAGAATAAGATAAATTCCAAGTGCTATTTTCTTGAGAGTTCAAGTATTATTAGTATTCAGTGTTCAATTGATCCATCACTTTGTGCTCATTAGGAGGTGTTGTTCAAGTACGGAGTCTCCGTAGTTACATTGCCTCTGGACGCACTTGTCAAGATGGTACGTTGTATTTCTTGTAATTGATTCCCTATTTCTTTAAGACATAATTGTCCTCAGTATTACGTTTTGAA